CGCAGTGCACGTACCGGAGCGTCCCGCAGGCGGAGCGGACCCACGCCGTGGTGCTGAGCCGGCCCGCCTGGCTCTGGGGCGCCGAGATGGGGGCCAACGAGCACGGCGTGTGCATCGGGAACGAAGCGGTGTGGGGCAGGGAGCCGGTCTGCGAGCGGGAGGCCCTGCTGGGCATGGACCTCGTCAGGTTTGCACGGGCCGCGCTGGGGCTGTCCTTTAAAGCAGCGGGTTCGAGTTATGTGGGTGCTTTCGCGTTCAGAAAACAGGTCTGGTCTCCTCGGCAGCTCTAGGCACGGTTAAAAACATGTATTTCTTGGCAGAAGGATTAGATCCCTGCCAGGAGCTGGGAGCCCGCGAGAGGCATCGGGCGCCAGAAGAGAACCTGTCAAAGAAATCATCAAGTGTCTTTCTCTTGACAAAGTTTATACTAAACTAAACTGGGACTCTTAACTAGAGCACAGTGGGGATTCTGAAACTAGTGTTCAGGACTTCTTCCTAAGGTCAGTTCTCATTTCCCCATCTTTTCCATGCGTATGTTTACGTTTCAGCCTCAGCCACACCTCTCCCTGTAAATGTGGCAGGTTTATTGGCCTGCCCTGCTGGCTGCCAGTGGAACTCTCCCTAACCAACAGCAGTCAGTAAATTCTTCTTCACAGTTTCCCCCTGGTCTAATACCCACACAGGACCTGGAGGCGTTTCTTAGGAGCCCCTTCCCTGCCTTTCTCTGTTGCTGTTGGGTTGTTTTTCCCTGTCCCAAGGACACAGATGACCTACTCCAAACAAGCCATTTAAATGACTTGCTCCTTCCTCTCACCACATTATACAAGTATCAGGTACATACAGAAAGAGCATTCCAATTCAGTTTGAATACTCGGGTGGAATAGTTGCATGTGAAGTTTGTAGTTAAAAAAAATAACATCTTCCTTTTGTTTTAGGCTTGGACTTGAGAGAGCAGACACAGCTGAGAAGGCTCTAACTGTCATAGTTGATTTGCTAGAAAAATATGGACAGGGAGGAAACTGTATGGAGAGCCAAATGGTATTTACATACCATAACAGTTTTCTGATAGCCGACAGAAAGGAAGCATGGGTGCTGGAGACATCAGGAAAATACTGGGCAGCAGAAAAAGTAGAAGGTATGGATGATGCTCTTGGCTTTTAACACTTGCAATGCAATGACAGTTAGCAGTTCTCCACTTTTCACCTGTCATTTCATGAAGGGCCTCAAACTAGTCTCCAGATACATAAATAAGAGAAAAGAGCAGGGCCTTAGAAGGACAAACTTTGTCTTTGGAGTTCTAAGAAGAAGAATGTAAAGATGGGCATAGTAGGACAGAACCTGAACTATGATTCTGGCAATAGAATTAAGAGCTGAGGGGCAATGGAATTTCAATCAGAAGGATACATACAGCCAGGGAGAGAGGGCCAAGAATAAACCACAAGGACTCAGATCTTGTAGGAAACCCTTCAGTGCATAAATTGCTTTAGTAAGCTAATTGTAAGCGAAAAATGAAGAAAAAGCATTCAGTGCATTAAAATTATTCTTTCCTCACCTTACAAACAGGAGGCATACGGAATATTTCCAACCAGCTCTCTATCACAACCAAAATTGACAGAGAACATCCAGAATTAAAGGAATATGCCAAAAGCCAGGGCTGGTGGGATGGGAAAGAGGAATTTGATTTTGCTGCCACATATTCTTACGTAAATACTGCCAGAATGACCACATCTGGAGACCGATATTGTGAAGGCTACAAACTTCTGAACAAACACAAAGGTATCATTTTTGATGATTTTTTTAAAATATAAAAGCATTTAGTGAGCTGCATTAAATCGTAAATGATTAGACATCTGCTATGGACAATCATGCACATGAATTTGGTGAACCAGAACTTACTAAAATCACTTTTTGCCCAAAGGAGAAACTCTGAACTTGTCAATTTGAACTCGTCAGTTTGTCAATGAGGAAAAATTAAAACAAGGGTCAAATGTCAAGCACACACAGCTACACTAACAACTCTGAGAGGCCACATACTGACCATACCACTGAACACTGCTTAAGATTGAGCTCTGAAATGGTTTGATAGGCTATATGTACCTCTAAGAAAAAAATCAGAGGCTAAAACAGAATCGAGTGGATTGCAGCCAAAACCAGAACCTTATGAACAGCTTCAGCCTGCCACCATTCATACAGGCCTAAGACAACAGCACAGAATTCAGATACGTGTCTCGCATTTAGTTTTTGAGATCGGTTTTTAAATGTTTGTGGTTTCATTATAACTGCAACTCTAACCATGTGTGGGCTAATAAAACACACAGTATCATAAAATAATTTTCTGTAAGAAGGAGCTCCTAATCATCAACTTATTCACTTATTTTTCAGACCTCTATAGAAAGAAACTATTACTTCTCTTTTAACTGCCTTCACCTGCCAGGTTTTTCTGCATCTTTATTCACTAGCTTATTTGAAGTAATTAAACTGAACCAAAATGACATTGCACCTTTGTACTTTTATGTATTTGGCTGAGCTCTACCAGACCTTGCTTACCATTTAGTTAATGTGCTAGAATGAATTACCTTTTGCTATCCTGCTCTAGTGATCATGTAAATCCTACATTCATTTTGGGAATTGCAGGTTTTGAACAGTGAATGCATTTTCCTAATACCTGTATTTACTTGTATTATAACAATGCTGAGATTCTATCAGTGTTTTCATTCTAAATCCCTATTTTCAGGCATTTCTATGAGCCATTTTAAAAATCACACTAGGTGTTCAGGTTATCAACCTCACATGTTCTCAGTTTGTTTAGCTTTATTTTAAATAGGTGCCCCTAACTAAAAGCTATTTGGTTTACAGCATCAGTAAAATCACTGGTGTCTAAATCTACCCTTTCACTTAGTGGCATTACAGTTTTTTTCCAGGCTACCTACCAAGTGAAGACCATTTTTAGATAAACATTTATACTTCAAAAAACAGGGAATACAAAATAATTAAAAAGTGTAGTGGAAAATATGCAGTACCTCTTTCCTGCTGGACAAGTTGCAAAATTCCAGTTGCCAAAGTGACTGTTGCTTCTTTTAATTTCTTTGGTTTATCGAGCTTGTTTCTTCAGTTCTCTGACATTCCTTGGCAACGGTGGGAATACCTAAGAGTGTTTCCTTGCTAAAATGTAGTGCTGCATGCCTGTCTACAAGCAATTTGAATTGTGTATAAAAATAATATTGGAGACATCCAAATTAGCAGCAGAGTGATTATTCTGAGAGGAAATGGCAAGGCAGTTCAATAATAAAAAAAGAATCTGCACGTAGCTAGAACTTCACTGAGGGAAATGCTAAAAGATGAAGTGGAAGTAGAAAAAACAGTGAATGAACTAACGTTTTTTCTGCCATAAGCACAGCTCAGCTGGTACACCAGGTTTGAAAAGGAAACTACTGTAAGTGCTGCTGGTTATTCAATTGCCTAGTGATACCAGGCCAGTATTTAAGCTTCAGTGTACACTACGTGAAGAGCAATATCATTTGAACACTAGATGCAGAGGCATATGGAGAAAGGGGTTTGTTTCACCTACTTGGGAAGAGTTATTTTCATAGAAACATTTGGCACTACACCTCACATAGGTACATATGATATATGTATATATAGGTCACATAAGATGACTTTACAAATGGATGTACTATTGTAGTAACTGTCAATCCAGATTACAGAAGATGTTGTTACTCCAGTGCATCCTTTCGATTACCAACTTAAAGCTTAAGTGCTGTGCAAGGTCAGATGATTAAAAAAAAAAAGTCTTGGCATTTGATTTTCCAAGTTACACAGAAAATCCACGCACAGTTGTTATTTTTACATTTCCAAAGCAACCTAGTAGTATTAAACGTGTACAAATACCAATAGCTATTATAATGATTTATCTAAACTTCTACAAGTTAACAAGCTACTGATTTTCATCTGAAAAGTTACTGTGTAAATGACCATTGGCTAGCCATATGTATTTTACTTTTCTTTGAAATATCATGTACCATCATCCTCCTCCTCTTTTAAGTCATAAATGTTAGAGCTTATTTTCACCTGCTCTTTGAAAGAAATGCTTTGGGTAAAACTAATATTTTTAAAGTGTGCTACATATTCAGGATGATTTTTTTTTCTGCCAACACAAACTAAAATTGGTATTACCTATTAAAGGAAAAAGCACCCAGTTGTACTTAACGTGCCATTTAGTTGGTATTATAGGTAGTGCTGTTTGCAAATTATTGTATCCTTAACAGGATCTATCACTCCTGAAATAATGATGGAAATTCTTCGTGACAAAGAGAGTGGCATTAATATGCAAGGTGGATTTATGACAACTGGAAGCATGGTGTCTGTATTGCCTCAGCAGCCTGACCTGCCATGTATTCACTTCTTTACTGGAACTCCAGATCCTGCAAGGTGATGTAGCAGCAAGTAATTAGGATAAAAAGTTGAATATATCTAAATGAAAAGTGTTGAATTTGTCTAATTATATTCCTTTTGGCTTTTGTTTGTTTGTTTGTTTTGTTCCTCCACCCAAAAAAGCACACAATCAAAAAGCAGGAGGAACATAATGCCATCTACCAGCCCATCTAGTGAAACACTGCTATGACACTCAGGAGATCTTTTTTTTTTTTAAGACTTCATTCTTAAGAGAAGGGATTAGAAGAATGGGGGGAAATACAGCAATTTCCTGACTCAAGAATTTTAACAAAACTGTATCAGTAAAGGGTCTCTGTTCTCTTTTCTCTTTCTAGGTCTGTATTCAAGCCTTTCATTTTTGTTCCCAATATTACTAAGTTAGTAAAAACTAGTTCCCCTACATTTGGTCCTGATGATCCAGTTAAGAAGCAACCACGTTTTCAGAGTAAGCCAGATCGAAGACATGAGCTCTATAAAAAACATGAAAGTGCTGCTGTAGTTATGGAAACTATCAAGGTATGTTGATTAAATTAGATTTCAATGCAAGCAGGTGGTTTTTATAAGCCCCTTGCTCACATTTTGTTAATGTGATACTATTTAATGCCCTTTGATGGATTGTGAAGAACATTGTAATGCACCAGAAGCCCATCAGCTTGGCGTCTGGCAGGCGTATGTTTCAGACAGTAAAGATTGCAACTAGCACTTAGCTGTACTCCCAGACCCAGCCCCAGACAAGTATCTGTGCTACTCACCTTGCAGAGAAGCAGGCCACTCATACTTCTGAGCTAGTCAGATAACAGGGAAATGATTGAGCACAGCTCCTGGCAAGAGTATGTAAAACTCTTCAGGACCCTGTCTTAGGCAGTAAGAGGGCATGCCTTTGTCATTGCTTGGTATGGACAGGAAAGGAAAGAAGATCCCAAAGGTAACTGGACACAAAGGGGAAGCAGGGAGATAGTTGTTTAACAGTAGCATCTCTTCTATTTACAGATACATGTTCTAAAAAATATGACACATGCCCATTTAAGTTTTGGTAGCATAAAGAGCTAGAGAAGCTTTAGTTTTGTTTATTTTCAGTCCATCAGACAAGGAGGTTGAGAGATGAAGCAAGTGCTGGATATTAGGAAAGACAGCTAAGAAAACCTGTCATGGTGCTAACTTCTACCAACACAGACTTGTACTCTAGAAACTACTGAGAGGTTAAAATAAGGACGTAGAACAGAATTTTGATAGGATGAATACTACATATCCTGCATAGTTTTTAGTGAAATACAGATGTTTCTTTTTGCAGGGCAAAGGTAAAGAGATGCTGAAAGAGATACAGGAATTGGAGAAACAGAAGATCAGTGAAATGGAATCGATCCTGCAAAATGGATGTCTTGACATGAACCAAGTGGTTAACCTTTTTTCACAGTGTGTAGAAGAAGAACTCAAAATATACAGCTAAAGCTACTATTTGAATGTGGTAGAACATAGTTCTATGATTACCTCTTCTAATGAAGTGGTTGGAGAGATTACATCTTATTTTCAATATACCAGTTCATATGGACAGTTTTAAAGATGTGGATTCATATTCAGGCCAAACAGCTTTTAGTTGTATGAAGCAATGCTGTAAAGGCTCTTAAGAGCTAGGCAGTGGCTTTGTCTGTGAGTGGCATAAAGCTGTTAGCAGAGATTGGTTCTGCTGACAAAAGAGATGGAATTAGAATGCAATAGTTTGGCTAAATTGTGGAATGACCCCATCCCTGGATAAAGAACGCAAATGCAGATTTTTAGAACTCAGTACTAGTGAACACACATGTAGCTTTTATAGTCAAGATACATGTAGCAGAATTTCACATTGTCTGAATTAAAATGGCCATGCTGAAAGACTTTCTAAAATAGAAGCTATTATTTGCACTGAATAAAAAGGAATGCAAGTCAAATAAGATTGATATTCAGCTGTTTGATAAAATCACATTTCATATATGAACCTTCTACTCCTTCAATGTAAAATGAGGCTGAGGGTTTAAGGTATACTAAAACCAAATCACAATTACAATTTCACCATGATTTGTTGTGAAAACCAGCTACGTGGAATTAAATGCAAGCAACCTGCAAATTACCCCACAATTTTAACTTCTATTCTCCTCACCCTGACACTGAAAAAGGAATTAACTTATTTACATAAAATATTTTTGTCAAATTAATTTTGCAATACACTTGGGAGTTTTCAAATGCTGCTTGAATTGTAACTATTTTAAAATCAGGCAATGAGGCAGAAGAGGTTGGGGTACACAAATATATACGTGTACTCAGTGGGACACTTCAAAGGACTTTTAAAAGTTTTTCACTTCATATAAAGCCTTTGAACCATGACTTGTCTTGCCAAAATTACTAGAGTAACATGGAGTTAATGTAATCAAGCTTTTTGCCTTGCCAGGAACTCTTCCTTCCTGATCCTGTTTAAAAGTAATGATCAATATGTGGCATTACTTTTATTATCCCTGGCAAGGGACAAACTGAGCAAGCAACAAAGAAAGGAGATTCTGGCTTTACTACATGATCAAACAGGATAAATATCAACTATAACTGGAAGGAGAAAAAAAACAACCCAACAATGAACACTTCTGCAGACCTTCAGAAGAGAACACATAACATGAAGTGGAGCAGTATGCATCATGACACAGGATCCCCAGAGAAAGACACAGCAAACCACAGAGGGACCATTATTTGATGATTTTTCTATATTTAGTTAATTTCTAGAATCATCTCATGCTAAAGATGGAGCTACACACATGCAGTTTTCTCATTTTAATTTAAGCAAACTAAAAATAAATATATAATACAGTTTGCAGAATGAGTAAGAAAATTAAAAGCTTAGCAGAACTGGTTCTTCTTCCTAATCCTACTATGAAAGTAGGAGTTAATTTAGGATACTGTGTTCAGATCCACAGCAAGAAACAAACAGGTTAGGAAAAGTTCCCGCATTTTCTAGTCTTAGTGATCCTACATGTACCAAGTGGCAGGAGCAAGAGAGACTGAGTGAGTGAAATGAAGATGAGATCAGGAGAAATAAATAACTTTTCCACCACCATACATGAACAAAAAAATAATCTTAAAAACCAGAATGTCCTCTAGAGGGCAACCGTTGCATGCATTTAATCTAGGAGCACATTTTCTAATGTATTTTAAAAGATCTAGAGCTTAATGAAGGATCATTAGAAAAAAAATACTAAAAACTAGAAAATTAGGAGTTTTATATCGACCCTTGTCAATTATCACAATTATTCTGAAATTAGTGACAGAAAAAAAAAATCCTGTGGTTCACTGCAGACTCCCAGACTGACATGCTCAGTGGATGTTTCCACAGCACTGTAACTTCCAACTTAACAGATTTATCTCAAACTAATCCACCTTCAAAATAAAAACTCATTGCATCACTGACCACAACTTTAAAGCAAAGCTATTTCTAACTACCAAAAAATCGTCCTTACCTAGGTAAACTATTGGCATACATCAAATTGTTAACTATTTTAAAACTTGCCAGTTCTCCTTGTATCAGGTAAGAGTTACTTAACCTTCTAAAGCTATTCAAAGTCTATCCTTAGCTTCCAGAAGTACCCAGTGATTTAGAAACAGATTATCATATCCTGCATTTAATTCCTAGTTTCTTTATTTATTAACCATCATAGACTGTCATGAGACTCTTGGGTATGATATTGGCAGTCACAAAGTTGTAACAGTCAATCTAACAGAACTTGGTGCCAGTTGTTAATTAGAGGTTTCTCTTAATTAGATGTGTATTAGGGAGCCTTCTCAAATTAGAAATTTTGAGCAATTTCTTATTATAAACATATACATTGTGTTCAAATATAGGGAATAGCAGATCCATTATAGAAAGAAGGCAAGGGCAGGACTTTGTGATGAAAATGAGAAATACAGGAGTGCAAGAACAATGACTGTGCATAGGACCATAAAGCTGACCTGGGATCAGCTTGTTGAATATTTAAAGAATCCTGCCCACTTCTGCCCCCCTCCTCCCCCCTAAAAAAACCCCCAACTTTAAATAAATAAATAAATAGATTATGTGAACCAATTGTAAAGATCTGTTTAGGCTGTTAGACAAAAACTAGTATCTTTGTGTGAACACCCATCAACAACTACTTAAAAAGCATCAATGGTGGATTTAAGAAATACCAAATTTGAAACCCAAGAGCCACTTTAACAAATTTCTCAGAAAAACACATTTGTCATAAATTTTGGTAAGCACACATAACCCTCCCACACCTCACATCAAAGCTCAGAACTCTGAAATGAAGTAACAGATTTATTGACAAGTTACAATATTTAGAAGCTTCTGCTCTTAAGTCACATATATCTAATTATTCAAAAGTACTTGATGTAGTTGTTTCCAACAGTTGTAATGGAAATACATTTTTTTTTCTTTGTGGCCACAGCTGGATACAAATGGCAATTATTTTGTTGCTGGAAAACATTAAAATATGCCAGTTTGTATAGCATACATATGCAGTAGGATGCAGTTATGTTTCTGTACACACTGCAGAAGTGCAGTAAGGCTGACAGTTAAAGGAATTATTTTTCCAATATAAGTCTCATGTGGAGTTATAGCTACCATAAATCAACTGCTTCTTGAACAGTAGTTAATGCTGCTAAAATAACTTAATTCTTAGTACAAAGTAAATGTACAAGTAGCTATAATAAAAATCTACATATTAAAAAAAAAGGAAACGACTTTTTAAAAAAGGATGAGAAGAGCTACTCATATTCTTGAGCAAATCATGATTTTTTAATATCTGGGTTCCCTTCCCTCACTATATAAGATGTTTATCTAGACATATAAATGCTGTTCTTGCAGTTTTAAAAGGGCAGCATAATGGCTATGAGATACTACAGTTTGTCTTTAAGCTTTTCAACATACTGCAGAAGATTCTCAGATTCTGCTTTCAGTGCACAGGAATCTGAATGATACTAGAGTAGCTATTTAAACATTGGAGGATACCTGAGGCTTATTAGAAACCTGTGTTAGGCAACCAATACTATAATTTTAGGATCTTCAGCTACTCCAAACTAAGTTGGATGTTCAGTTAGGATTCTTATTATATAATAAGATTTACTAGTAATTGTATTTCATTTAAAAGGTTTTATGATTTGATAAAATTTTTAGCCTTTATTTGCACAGGTATCAAAGGCTTCTATAACATCTTTATTTGAGGCTGGCACTTCTGAATTGAACTGGAAATGCTCATTTCAGAAGGTTAAAAAATCTGCTCTTGACAAAGCTGTTATTAACAACATAAGGCAAAAATTCAGAATTGTTTATGTAATTCTATTATTTAATTTCCTAATGGGGGGGAGGGGGAGCAGTGGGTATTTTTATAGGCTTTTAAAATTTGGTAAATTCGTACAAACCCATTATTTATGCCACTCAATATTTCCTCAGCTTTAATCCTCTAACATTGAAACAATCTTCACAACAATTCTACCTTTAAAAAGAGAGGAATTTCTCTTTAAGAGAGAAAACCACCCAATCCAAGTTGTAAACAGCTAGGAAAAGTTCCTGGTGATAGAGTAGTAAAAACTGGGGTAGAAGAAATCCTATTTCTGTGAAGTGAGGGGGAAGCCTGACTGTAAATAGGAATCAATATTTAATCACACTAAAATATGGAAAACATACCTTAACATGAAAAATACCCCTCATTCATGGGTTTTTTTCATTCTGGCACCAGTCACTAAAGTTGCTGTTGTAACATCTCTATAATATGACAGTTACACTTAGCATTTTCCTATTGTTTCACTCAAAATGGAAAAAAAAATGCTCTAAATCCAGAGCATTTTGTCCTGTTCAAGTTGCATTCTGGCTGGAATGCTCAGTAGATATGAATTGCTACCATTTCCTTCAGAGTAGACACAAGTAGAACTGCATCTCTTAATGTTGCAAGAGAGAATGACACAATTCTCTTAGAGTCCTGAGAAAGAAATATTTCCAGTTTCAGTGGTGATGGCAGAGGAGGTGGTCACATTCACCCCTAACTGCCTGTCCTCTGCCTGCAGTGCCCAGGTCAGTGGCTCTCAGCTGCAGCTGGTCTCTTCGGAAGAAAGCGGTAATACAAATACTCATCCCGGAACTCAAATTCATTCGTGATGTGCTGGATGACGCCTCCTGTCATCAGTCTGTCTCCATACATCACAGCTTCACCACGGTCGGAGGCAAGGCCAACTTGCATGAGCCAGTTCACCAGGTCACAGCCAAAGAAGATGCCAGGGGAGATCTTTGCACCACACCTGTATGTCAAAGGAATGATTCACCCACATGTTCTGTAAATCTGGTATCACCACTGCACGATGGGGAAAGGCAAGGAAAAACAGCAGGAAACAAGGAAAGACATCATGATAGTTAAGAGCATGTTAGAAGAGAACTTGCAAGTTTTGTATAGTAGGGACATGCCAATGCTTACTACCTTTTCCTACAGACACTTCAATGTGAAGCAAAATGTAGGTACAGAGTTATTTTAGGCTTTAAACTTCAGCAAACAGAAGTAGCAATTTTCCTAAAAAAAGCACACAATGTAATTCTATTTCTTGGATACTTACTTCCCATTACTGATTAGCATGACCATTTCTGCAACAAAGTATCTGAACTGACTGCAGCATGCCTGCAGCAACAAGGACTCAATCTGCACTTCCATGCGGGTTTATAATTTACCTACAGCTTTAAACAGACACTGTTTACCTATCTTGTAAACAAAAGCCATTTAACTTGCATAGGTGGTTAAATATTTGCCACACAGCACTAAGAATAAACAAAACCTCTACAAGAAGACTATTTTACATATTTATGAGGCAGTGCCCATCTACCCAGTTGCAGTAAAAATACCATTCAGAAATTTAACCAGAAACAATCTTTGGTGCAGGTATCTAAAATCTGCTCTATGGAACCCAAATGCAGGGTTTCTGAAGATGACTAACAGCTATACAAGACAGCAAAACACTAACTTTCTTGTTGTGTTTTTTTTGTTTGTTTGTGTTTGTTTTGTTTTGTTTTTTAAAGCAGCAGCAGCAACATAGAGCGAGGTTAAAATCTGTGAGCAGAGAAGCAAAAATTAAAATAAATAAAAATCCATTATTAAAAGGTGTCAGTTGCAGTATATTTAAAACAAAGAGAATGGGATCATGTTAGATGAATTTTTAAAATGAGAAGATAGGTGCTTTAATTTGCAAGGAGAAATAAGATGCAAAACTAGTTCCACACAAACATAATATTAAACCAATGAAGTGGAAGATGTCAGATTTTGATGCATCCTCAGGTGGATATGTGATTAATAAAAACCATAAAACCCAAACAAATTAACAGCCTGAAGCCCAAGAAACCACAATAGCAGCAGATGTACAGGAAACACAGCAGTAAAACCTACCCTATTTCAAAACAAACTTTCTGATATACCTTTTCTGTCTGGCATGAAAGAAGCAATTTTTTTAACTGCCACAGTTCATTTTTCCCAAATGGACAACTTCATTATTTTATTTCTCATTGAACGTTACTCACTTCTGAGGAAATGGAATGAAAACACTATGTTGTCAGAAAGTTCTGGAGTGTGGTTTTGGACTATCTGACCATTAAAGAACGCACCATCCACCAAACCAGTCCTACTTAAAAGCTCACATGACAAGAAAAGTAGAGGTGTCCTGCTAGAACAATTCTTCATGTCTCCATTTCATACAGTAAATATTTAAATAAAGGCAAACTGTTTTTCTTGTTTCTGCTGATTTTGTCTTCACTCCTCTTAATCCATCTACACATACCTGAATACATGATCCTTGATTTGAGTACCATAATTCGCCTCTTAAAGCTTTGTTGATCTGATAAATTGGGGTTTTTGTCTCTCAAGAGCAAGCAAAAGAAATTGTATGACCTCCAAGAGGTGTAAAGGTCCTAAAACCACTATAATCTCACATATTAACTGGCCTCTGAATACATACTGACATCAGCTGCAACAGTTTTGTCTCCTGTAAAAGCTATTTATTAGTAAACATTCAGTCATATAAATAATGACACCTTCTTAATCTCAGAACAAAACAAATGAAAGGTCTGGTTTGACAACACTCAGACATACACACTATCACAGGCTTTATCCTATACATTTATTCAGAAATTATTCTCTCCTGCTAAAAGCAAAAACTGGGGCAATGCCTTAATGATATATTTTTTTAATACAACATATATAAACCCTAGATGGGATAATGTGTTAACTTGCACCTCAATTTCAGTGTGAGACCAGAAACATTTATCCATTACTACTCAATTCTTGTTACCTTGAAGTCTGAACAAATATGCCACAGCAGGAGTAGCCCACAGATAGATTAAAATGCATTTCATTTATTTCCAAAAGGTGATCTATGACCTTTGTAACAGCTTATATGTGCAGGGAGGAACCTTACCTTCTGCCTCTGACAATACTTTTGACACAATGATCTTTATGATAACGAACAAACTGTTGACAGGTCATCCTGATTTCCTCGGGTACAGAGGGATCTGTATGTCCTGCTGCTTCTCTGCCTCCCCATAAAAATTCAAGTCTTTCAGAAAAAAATAAATAAAAGGAAAAAAATAAGGAAGAAGAAAATAAATTAAAAACAGCAAGTTAGCCAGAAGCATTTTTAAGGAAACTGCAATAAATAGAATGGAACTCGTAGGAACTTTACCACAACTGTTTTACTGTTTCTGTGCCCAGTATATTGTATACGATTTTCCTAATATACTTGTAAAGCCTTTGAACACTGAGAAGTTTTATGCTAGGCTCAGGCAGAAGGAAAGAGACGGTAATTGGGAGTCAGCTTTAGCTCCTGGATTCACACCACAGCCAGCCAACTCCAAATTAACGTTTGTATAACTTACACCACAACAGTTAGAAGCGTCCAACCACACAAAGTACCTGCATTAAGTTATGAATAAAGGACTTTAAAACAGTGGTGATAGAATCTGGTTCAGCATTCACGTCAACATTTTAATTTATCAGCTGAAATTATTTCTGAAGGTTCATCATCTCACTGATCCAATCACACACTTCATCATTTTATGAAGAGTTTGTCTATAGGGAGCCTATGGGATTTTTGCTTTTGGGAGTATCATTAGGACAGCAGTAAAAATTCAGGCACAGTGAACTGCAATCAGCTCTCTGCAAATGAGAGAGAAAATAAATGCAGAAGACTGAACAAGTAGAAAATGCAATGTAATGGCACTGAACACTCAATGCCCTTTAAAATCATTATGGTCAATAAATAAGTTTATAGGTATAAGTGTAAAGATTCTATTTACCTTCGCTTGAATGGTAGAATGATTAAATGCTTATCTAAGCCAAAAATACCAAAGCATATGAAGCCCTGGAGGAAAAAATATGGAAAAAGTAATGTTAAGCAAGACCTTTGGTTTCTAAAGAACAGAAATAAAATGTGAAAATGTCATTGTCAAAGCACGTGTGAAAAGTGTTCCTCTTGTTTAGGTAGCATTCAAAATGCATTTTGTTTCTGCTTTGATTTTTCATTCAGGCCTTAAAAGAACAGATTAATACATACAAGTCCATCAAAGAAATTCTACAAGAAATAGTTCAGCAAACCCAGTGCTGTGATATGTCACCTGACACTTCAGGATAACTGGCTAACCTTATGTAGTCAATTATTTAAATGTTTTTGTTTATGTCAAGGAAAGAACTATCTTACTGTGATTTGAAAATCAGAATGTTCTCAAACTAACTTTTCTGTGGCACTTTTGTATTACAAATTCTATCATTACTTGACACAGCAGTGCACCTTGTAGGCACACCTGTCCGTGGATCTGCAAAAATTCTTCTAGTATGTGTATTAACACTGCCTTGCTTTCACCTTGTGCCAGTTTGCATTGAGATAGGTGACGTGCAGCTGGAACCATTATACATTTAACTGTCAGCTGGTAGACAGTAGTGCTGTAACTGAAACTGCAGACATAATAACTTAAAGTCTTATGGTGGAAGTATCTGTGTACCTATTTAGTTATACTGGTGTAACTCCAAAGAAGCAACATTGAGACAAATAAGACTAAAACCCACTCAGTTTCAGCAAGCATTTGGCATTCAGTTTTCATTTGTACGTTTGAAAGTGTTAGTGCTCTTAGTAAGAAAGCTATCAAAGGAAATGAAAAAGCTTGAATAAGGCAAAATATCAGGCACATTGTATGAGGACTTCCTCTTACATAAGGTGCTTGTAACAGCATCTGCAGCAACACCCACCACCAGTCATTTTCAGAACAAACATTGCTGAGTACCTGACCAAAATTAAAGGCAGCACAGAAGAACTGCAATTCTACATACAGCCTCCCAGGCTCTCGGTTGAACAGCCACCATAAGCAACTGGAAAGATTCTGTTAAGAAAAAGGAACACACAAGTTTAACCTGACTTCAAAATCAAAAGCACTTTCTTGCTCTTCACGTGCTAATAGATTCCTGCATGATTTTTACCACCTTTATTTTACAAATTATTCAGATAAAGGCAAATAGGAGAGAATAAACACCTTAGAACATAATTTTAGTTAGCCTTACTAGTTGCAGGCAAGGGGAAGAGCTTGTTTGTTTTCAAAAAATTAATGCAAAACATGCCAGGGTAGAGGTCCTGTCCTTTTACATGTTTACATAAGGAACTCGCCTTAATCAAACCTAGGTATTCAACCTAACACAGAGAATATTAGCCCACACAGATTTGCAGTATTTGTCTTTAGGCCTATTTAGCTGAGACCAGTGCTTCCTGCATATTTTCTGCATAGTTAAGATTGCATTTAGCTGAAGCACATACCAATTCAGCTATTTTAGATGCCTGACAGGAGGAAAAAAACCTCCAAAGTGAACCCCTTTGGGAGTAAAAGCTAATTATTTAATGTAGCTGGTCTCATTTCACAGCATCTGTGTAAATATCAAGATACAGCTAAAAGAGAGCATAACATTTGGAACAGCTCTTAAATACAGAAGAAATAAAATATGTATTAGTGTGGACTATTTGACACAGGAAATTTGAGCGAGGGAAAGGTTGAATTTTATAATTTAACACAACCTGAAAAGCCACAGTAGTAGCTATTACACTACATAGCTGTGCCACACTGTGCTGCTTCACAGTATTATTTATTTGTGCCACAGTATTTTCCTTTTTAAGTAAGAAATACTTCCACCCTCATTGTCATCCAGAAGAAGCTCAACATTGAGCAACACATTGAAACACAGAGAGCTGCTTCTCATCTTTGTCACAGTTTAAAATTCAAATTATAACCCTAAAACATTACAAACTTAGCTATATTGCCCCAAAAACACCACTAAAAGCAATAAATTTGTATTTTTCAATTTCAAATAAAGTTTTACATTATTCCTCGTCACTAAAGCACCTCAGAGAAATCCAAGTTTGAAATAAAAGAACAATCAGATGGAACAATTTTTGTACAGTGTCCTTCAGACGTATAATTCACTTTATATTTTTAATCAATTAATGTATAGGTAAGAAGACTAGTTCTTAAGAAAAATGTGAAGAGGCACAGTAGTGATGAATTACTGAATGATATAATTCCAGTTTTTCCCCGAGGGACCTCCAGTGTGGCTTGTTCACTAACATCATAAATTTTAACATGCCTTTAATTTATGATGCAGCACAGAAAAATTAATTTTATAATACTCTGCTTCCAGTAAGGGACCAAAATAAACTCGCTTATTTATTTAATGAATTGTCACATGAGGAGTTGGATCTTTACTGGATTGTCTGCACAGCTTTCCTAAAACTCATTCCACCTCAATGAGTTAAACAACATTGGGAGAAAAAAATACTTACAGCAAACAGGCCAACAATAAGAAGCATGCAGAGCAGCACATGTCTGGCCAGCTGTTTGTCTCCAGTCTGCAGAAGCTGTTCTTCCTGAGCCAATATGCAGGTTTGAGCACTGCAATGACTCACACACTGATCAGCTGAAAAACAAAGCAGAATTCTTCATCAGGCTTCTGACTTACGAACTCCATGAGCAAACTTGTCAATGTAACTTGCTCAGTTAAATGACTTGTAAGTATCTGTACTGAAGTTAAACACACACAACTTAATATTAGCTTTGACAAGAAAATGTTCAGGAAGCCCCATCCCTGGAAGTGTTCAAGACCGGGCTGGATGGGGCCTCGAGCAACCTGATCTAGTGGGAGGTGTCCCTGCCCATGCAGGGCAGTTGGAACTCAATGATCTTTAAGGTCCCTTCCAACTAAAACAATTCTATGATTCTGTGATATATTCTCAAATGAAACAGTAGTTTCCAAGTGCTCCTAAAATGAATAAACTTTTTGCAACAGATCTCTTCTTTCAAAGGTTTAATGCAAACTTGTTAGCATTTAGAAAACACTTCTAGAAATAATGAAAAAACCAGAACTTTCTCAGAACAGTTTTAAAACTTACGAATGAATTTCTAGGATAAATATTTCAAATATACCATGAACTCTAATGTTTTTACTCTGCATCTCAGTATTGTAGAGCTCTAAATCAGAAAACTGACATTTTTAACATGGTATAGCAAACTACTCATAATTCTATCAATCAAACAGAGAGAATGGCTGCTTGTCTTCCAGCTACAGAGCTCTAAAGAATTCTGAGCATCTTCCTCTAGATGGCAGTGAAAAACTTCCTGGCAAAGAGACACCTAAGAATTTACACCAGATACCTGTCATAGCAGTTCAACAGGATAGTAGAAGGATTAGTAATTATTGCAGCCAAAGTTACACAAGTGCATTCATTACAATTTGCTTTTACTGATTAATAGTTCTGAAGAGTTCACACTGTAGGTTGAAAAAAAATTCCACTCAATCATAAGATATTTTCTACCTTATCTTTGAGGATAAGAAAATTAAAGTGACCTACCTCTATCCTTGGAAGACTTTCTTATGATATTAATGAATTCTTATGATATTAATTAATTCTTATTACATTAGTCTGAAGTACTTAATAGATAAAATAGTTGGCTGGTGAAAAGATAGTGTTTTGTGAGAGGAGACATAACTAATTATGTTTCAGTGTGAAACATTTAGGTTTGTTGAAAGTTATGTTGCATCTAAACAAAGCAAAAAGATACAAACTTCCTTCTCAAGGATCAAAAAAACAACAAACCAAAAATACGAAAAAGAAAATAGGAAAAAGAAAGGTTGCACTGCAGCTAGTTCTTTTGATTATTGAAAGTGCTGTACAATGAGAATGGGCTGAGCATGCAGTTTTCCATCAGGTTCTGAGCAGTCATTTCAATCCATTTTTTCTACTTCAGTGTCTCCTAAGGCCCCTTGAATACTTAAGTTTGCTCCATCTCTCTCCCCTGGATATGAATAGTATAGCAGCATGGGTGTTTGAGCTAATCGGCAGTGCTTGTTCTTCTAGATCTCATTCAGGTTTTTCACTCAAAACCTGTGCATAACTGCAACAAAGGCTTCAAAGGCCTTTTTAGAAGATGCAAGATCTGAGTGCTCTGAAGGACGTGTTAAAATAGTATAGTGGTAAAAAAGCCAACCCAAACCAACTGTCCACCTTGGGCACTGAAAGATTATTAATAACTATTGGACAGAAGAGAACACCTAAGATGTTACCTAGTACTGGAATTTAGTACGAACTATAAATTATGCAGGTAGAGTTGAAAGAACAACAGCCCAAAATGTTGTTTTGTTCTTTTTTTTATGACAACACCACACATAAATATTGTGGAACAGTTTATACTATCAAAACAAGGAGACACTACTGCTTTACCTGTCTCAATTGGAGGAATCTTGCTTTCAACAGCAGTTGACACTGCTTTGCTCTCTCCAGCACAGGATAATTCACCATTTGTTGTTTGACAAGAACAGCAACCTATTAAGCATATACAGTAAAAGAACAGTTAGCTTCCTTCACAAGCACTATTTATTGTCCAAGTATAACAATATAGTCTATACAGCTTTAGCTATTATGCTCAAAAATAGCCCAAAAGCAAAAAGCAGACTTAATTTTTTTCCAGTTTGTTGAGAGGGTAAATGAGTTGCACTATTAATATACAGAAATATTTAACATGGCACTACCACCATGGAAACAACACAAGTACTTTTAGCTAGAAGGAAAACATACAGGAAGCAAACAAAAAGGCTACATACAAACACAGAGGATTAGAAACCCACTGAGTAGCAATGCTGCTGGCACAGAGTTCCTTCTCAGAGAGATAGTTTAGTACGTAAACAATCTAAGATGTCCAGTGAACTGCATTTATCACACCCTCATCAAGATATCAGTACTTCCATAAAAACCATATACGTGTTTTTTTTTCCTGTCCACTTCCCCCACCCTTACCGTAATAATCATCATTCTTTAGAAACATAAACCTAAATCCTTGGGCAGTTATATCTAGGCTTCCTTCTGAGCTAGTGTAACACTTGAAGGTGTATATAAATGTCCCTCCTGGGTCAGAATTAAATCTGGAACATAATTTTTTTCTACCCTGAGCCACTTATTCTCTTACAAGTCTATGTTCTCCACCTTTTTCTACAGATGGCTGCGCAGGAGATTCTGGAGAAGGCTGTGCAGAAGATCCTGCAGAAGGCTGAAGGACAGTGGTTGAAACTCTATTCCTCTCCTTCCTTTCCACTTCAACCTCCTCCATCTGGCTACGTGGTGAATACGGGTTCAATACCTCATAGCTTGACTCTTGCCTATTTCTGTTCATACACATCAGTGAGATACCTGACATTAATATACTGATGAACAGGATCACTGCTGTGGTAATTATCTGTTAAGAAGAGAGGAAAGAATAATACACTGAAATACAAAATAAAGAAAAAAAGTTGCAGGTACCTGTCTTTCTAACTTCTGTACTTTCCTAAATACACTAACAAATTGCATCTGAATAACACAGAGTTTTCTATATTTACTGCTCTTGCATGTTGTGGCACTGGAAGAGCAATCAGTACATGTGACTAATTTTCCTTGCCTGAGTAACTCAGCTGTTTGGGTTATTAATTTAGTTTTGTTTTCTTTTAAGTGGGGACATCTCCTTCCCACACAAACCAAAAACCTCCTGTCATTGTTACTGTCATCATTTTTCCTCTCAGGATCCTTAGTGCTCCAGTTTAAGTTCTGCTCAGGTACCTTGTAATTCCAAGGAGGAATGTGCTCTTGTCATCCTCTGGCACAGCTCTAATTTCCATGCTTGCGCCAATGGGGAGCAACCTATTAACTAACCTTTCCTTCTAAAAACCTGCTACTTATACCCAGAGTCCACTCTGAGACTGACACTTGTGAAAGTGTCTCATGAATAATCCTGAGAGGCTCATAGCCTCTCTACTACTAAGACTGAGAGAGGGAAAACATGACAAATATATATGCTAATGCACTGTACATCCTCTGATAAGAGGAACTATTTATTGGTAAAAAATGGTCGTTCAGGCTCAGGGACTTTCAAGCCATTAATTAGCTATTGGAAAGTAATAATTTAAGATAATTATCAAGCAAGACTACCAATTAGTCACCAGGAAAAGGGCTCTGCAATTCATTACCACTCCTAAGCCTTTTCTTTGGGAAACTTACCACCCTCTTTTCCTTAGTCATAGATTCCTAAGCACAAAGGTCCTTGGTCAATTTCCTAATTGCTTATTACAGAAATACATTTTGTATCAATCTATAATCCATTCTATAATGATACTGTTACTATGGTGGCCAATATTTCCACTGAAAGCTGCTTACATAAGAAGCAAGGAGAACACAATTTCTCAGTAATGTATTGGACATGGCAGAAGCCTGAAGTGATGAGGACAGAACATAGTAATACCTGGTATTTTCCATAGAAAAAGGCAGAGTCAATACCAGTGCTGTTACGTTCACCAACAATTAGTAAGATTCCCACCAGAAGTGTTGGGACTCTGAAAGAGCAAAATACAAACAAAGTAACATATGCAGCATGCTCCCACTAATACTACAGGGAAATATCCCAATTAACTTACCCCCATCCAGCTATGATAATAAACCCAATGGGAATCTTTACTGTTTCACTCTTCCTCAAGAGAAACAAAGAGAAAGATAGAAAACCTACAAAACAAACAAACAAACAAAAACAACAAAAAACCACACCAAATAAATGCCTTATCTATTATTAAAAAGGGAATTGATAATTACAGAGTCTAAACACATTATGATGTGACCTGCCCAGTAACCAAGAGATTAGTCTCAGATCTTCAAATACTCCAAAATTCTTTTTGTAATTGTACATTGAGAAAGTTAAATAGAAACATTTTATCTTAAAAACCCACATTATTAATAATGAAACACTGAAGAAATTCCAGCACATTTTATATTATACTTACAAATGCTTCTGAAGGTTCACAAGTATTTAAAAGATATCATAAGAACATTTAAGACACAAGTAGCTACTTTATTAAGGTATCTACAGCAGTTGATCTAGATTGAAAATCTTAAGTAACCAACAAATAATGTTGTCTTTTGTTACAACATTTCTTTAAAAACTGACTAGCACTTTATAAAATCAATTATAAATTTCACCAAAAAAGCTTCATATGTTTTTACACATACAACTATATATGAGAGTATCTTTTGGGAATGACTATTCTATTCTCAATTCAGGAGCTCAGCAACACTTCCCAGATGGACGCAAGGCAAGTATTTAGTTCAAACTACACTAGTCATGAGCCACCTATTGCAGCTAAGCACAACCTACTCCACAAAAACATCACAGGAATTAAATCCTTTAACTTTTGTAATCAAGAACAACATATAAAGTCCCCTGAATGCCCAGAATCTCTTTTTTTATGTCAGGCTCTTCAAGTTTCTTGATGCATCTCTCAACCCTGCCCATTTCAAGTAATCCCTTTATTAATCATCTACACCTGCAAAACACACATTGTTTTTAGAAATCACAATTGCCAGGGGAAATAAACGTTAAAGCTACTTTGGTATTCTCCTTCACTTTGCATTTCCTGCTTTTCTGAGGCTCAAGGTTTTACAATCTTCTTAATGCTGAGAAATTAACATCTTAAATTCTACAATAATTAAAAACTGTCCATAAGCTTTTGATTAGCTGAAAGGCAATCCACCACATGCACTCTGTAATCGCTCTGTCTTGAGAGCACATTCTCATCTTTTGTTACAAGCTAGCAAGGTCGTTTTATCTAGCAAAGACAAAATAGGACCTGCCCAAGCTTCCAATAGCAGAAGCAGAGCCTGACACTTAGCCCGGTGTTGCTAGTACTGCAGCTTGGCACAGCTTGCAAGTGTGCACACCTGTAGGATCACATAGGGGAAAGAAACAATTACTCTCAAGAATATAACAAAAAAAAATATTTCAGTACATCAAACTTTCATTACAGAAGCTAGGTTCTGCCTAGAAAAATCATACCTGTCCATAGATAGGTGCTATAAAGTGAGCTGTAGAGGAATATAAATACTAGGATCTGCATGGTGATGTCCTTCTCTTTAATAATGAAATTCCATGCCACCATTCCAATGCAAGCAATAAACTGTAAAGAAAGGTAAGATGTTATAATTTAAATTGCAAAAGCAGGATGACAAGAAAAACTGAAAACAGTGGAACATTGCTACAATAATCTTCAAAACTCCACCCTCAGATTTATGGGAGTGTGATTTTATTAATTGGGTAGTTCTCATAGCAGTAAAGCTGTACAGCAGGAAGCTCAATATTCCAGTTATGTCACTGATCCTATTTTCAGTGGTTTTCTTCGACAGCAAATAAACAGCTCAGATAAAGTGGGACTAAGAAAAGTCAAGAAGTATATAAACTTATTCTTTCTATATAACAAACCATTTATCTAAAATGGTTTGGACAGGAAGCTGAGGTTGACTGATATTTTTTTAGCTGAGAATTACGCAAGTTTTCACTGAGAGATACCTCACATATGACAGTTGTACTACTGAAGGAATCTGAAAAAATAAGCTGAAATATTCTGGAAACAGTAATATGCAAGTTAAATTTATTTATTTTTTTAATGAACGCTAATTTTGCTGTTATAGATAAGAAGCTTCTGCAACTCTCATACATCACTTTTTTTCAAATGTGACTCCATGATCGAACCTCAAGAGTTTACTCTTTTTTTTAAGTACAGCAAGCTTCAGGAAGCCCTACTGCACAGATGTATTTCAAGCACAGGGTGCTCTTACTGAATTGAATTTGACAGCAGCTGTGCAGCTGACTTCAAGGAAAGAAGAAACACATACCCTATAGTTTTCTCTCAGTTTAAATAAGAATAAAAATTAATCCAAGGCTTTTTGGTTTTGCCCTTCCCTAGCTACCAGCCATGCATTCCCACACTCCTCCCTTGTATCAGCACTGGCACCTGTCTGATCCTTCAGTGAGGCACTTCAGGGAGCTAAACAAGCATGGGGGTTAGTGTTTCCACACACTGCTGCTGATCCTGGCATTGCTGACTTCAGATTGGCATAAATTGACATGGAAGTGCACGCAACACTATTATTAACTTACGGTGCTAAAAATATCTTTCAGAAGCCTTTCTCCATTTTGAATGCTTACAGTTCTGTTTGAGAACTGTACTGTATGCTCATTCTCTTCAAGGGTGTATTTTACAGCTCAGAAATTGTTTAGAAAAGTAACATACTAGATTCTCCTGCCCTTCTTAGATGACCTCAAAGATACCACTATACAAACCAAACCTGTAATAGTATTAAAAATAACACTCTTTAAAAAGAAGCAACCAACAAAAACATCATTCTTCTTACTACTGACCTGAGCAACAAGTAGATTTGTTGTAATCATATGAGGAAGCTGTTTGTATTTCTTACTCAGAAGAACAATAATAAGAGACCAGATCTGGAAAACATAATATCAACTGAACTTAAGACTAAAAGAAAACTCAGAAGAACAAAATTATTATTCTGGCAGACCATTAAATGAAATTAAATATACAAGTGAAATTAAATATACAACAGATCTACTTGAGACATTTCTTAGCAACACAACTACTGTAGTCAGCTCCACACCATCTCCTGACAGTCTCTATGTGTCAGAAAATATGTCCAGAAAAAGAAATGCATCTTTGTGTTGTCATGAAGGTGAATTATTTCCAGGGAGCACCAAAGGCTTGGTTCTAGTGCACAGAAGCCTGGTTGGTCTTCAGGACATAAATGATCACAGAATAAGCTGACAATTTAGAATTTAAAAGGCTCCTCCCTGTGCTATCTTAACTGAATCTCCCCAGATTGTGACAGCAAGAGGCAGTCTTCACTTGTGGCTTCCCTTGAAGCAGAATTTCAAGACAGTGGGACTTCAGTGAGACACCAACTTTAGAAAATGCCGACTTCCTCCAACATGGATGTTTTTATTTAAAAAAACCCACAAAATAAACAAGCTATAACTGTAGTGCCTACAAAAACTCAATTCACATTGGTCTTACGGGATATCAATCCCCCTTTTGAAAGCTGGGCATCCAAAAGTTCTAGAGAAAGAATTTAGTAAAGCTAAAGTAAAAGTTATAAGTTCATAATTTTCACTGATGCTCATCAATACTTCACTAAATAAATATTCACTGATGTTTCCAGATCTGAAGTTTTTACATAGCCATGATATCCACATGGTTTGATGCAATTACTACCTGTAAAGTAAGCCAGTACTGTTATTCCCCCACACCTCACTATTTAAAAAAAAAAAAAAAAAAAAGAACAACTAAGGGTGAGCAGCAGAGTTCATCCACACACACATCTGATGCTTCTGGCAGCTAAATCCCAAACTCTCAAGCCCTGCACCAGCACTCTAATTCACTTGACCATCTAAGCACAGACTTCTAGCTGACCCCTTGCTAAATCAAGATTTTTAACTTCTTCCTCATTCTTCTGTAACAGGATGCAATGAAGAAACATGAGTATCATTTTATCATGCCTTGATTTGCTGCTTATGTATTAACACTATCCCAACAATCCAGTGTGCTCTCATATTTGACTTCACCAACACCTACCAGAGAGATGAGGCTGACAATACTTATGTCAAAGCTAACATTTTGAAGTGCAGATGCCAATGGGTTGGGGTCCATAGATGGAATGGTCAACAGCCATGCAGAAACATACATAATAGGTGCAGACACAAAAGTGCTAATCACCATGCCTGAGGTAATCTGCAAAAAGAGTCAAACAAGAACAGAGTTAGTCAGATCTCAAGCTAATACAGTTCAGCAATACAACCACTGGAAAAATTGTTCCTTTGAATTAAATGCACACAGACTTTTAACAAAACATTGCATTGTTTCTATGACAAATTATTTAGAATTTGAGCCAGAAAGTATGCATTTTACACATACAGTTATGCTGAAAATGTTAACAAATTTCTGAAATAGTAGGAATACAGAATTCCCTACTGCAAATTATTACAGACCTTTTTTATGGGTGTGAAATATACTAATTACTACAGTCTAGGGATAAATTTACAATGTCAAAATTTACTTCTGCATGAAAAGATTCACACCACAAATATATATGCAAACATGTAGTTATGCAAATACTAATATGCACAAATTCATAGAGTAACCATTTAAGTGATTTATATTTTGGCTTCTTATTGCCTTTCTGCTTTCTAGAATTTGCATCGAAGTGTGATTTTTTGCTCATACTACAGATCTCTAAAGATATTTTTTCAGTTTATTTGGCACAAAATTCTATTGTGTGAGGTTTACTTTTAGTATTTTTTTTTCTGTTCTTTTAAAAAAATTAACCTAAACAAACCAACCAAAAATAGCATTAAAAACAATGGGAGTCAAGACATTTTAATATTACTTCAAGTGGAAAAAAGGAAACAGTTAGAAAATATGTATCTTTGGTTGAAAACATAAATGATACTCTCTCCTATAGAAAAAGCATTTGTTTTGCAAGAATTCACTGGAGCGGCAACAGAACAAAATCAGAAAAAGTGTAAGTTCTTTCCTAAATTTTCAGTATTAAGCTTGCTTTGTCCTTCCTGAAGTCAGTAATATAACTTCTGGTTTTTATACGCAAACAGCAGCTCAAAGATAAAGTCTTCAGGGAAACAAATAACCAAACAAACTCAACAACAAAAACCCAACAAAAATGCAAGTTCTTTATGTTTAAAGTTATCCTAATTCTTTCCATTAGAGCCATGAATAAGAAAAGTAAGATAACTTATTTTAGAACATGGACTATCATGCATGTTGAGACAGCAGGAAAGAGTACTTCACTTAATAATCTGAAATATCTATATTTGAGATTTAAGGAGTACAAAAAAAAAATAATCTAAGGAGCCTATACTACAGAAAAGCAAATTCATCAAGACTATTTATTTATTTAATCAATAAAGTTAAGCTCAAAGTTAGTAAAAGTTTGGGAAAGTTAACTACATACAATTCCTACTTCCATATTAAATTGACTTGCAAATATTGCGACACCAGGTGCTGCTGGAAAAACTCCATAAAGAAATGCATAGTTTGATAAACTGGTGTGGTTGACTACACTGTCACTCTTGTCCAGGAGTTCCACCATTTCTCTACAGAGAAATGGCATCATAAGTCTGAAAAAGAGGGGAAAAAAGTTATTGCAAAAAAGTATTACTCAAGCTCTAGCAATAGACTCTTATTTACTTAGGAAATGAACCAAAATTAAGGCTAGATTGAATACTACACCTGAAAAGCAAAATACTGCCACCACTTTGAATTATTGCCTTTACTTTTACCATGACATGAACCAGCTGCTTAGAAATTGTGTCACAAGTTACACCCCCAAAAAGAACCAAACCACAAAACACCAAAACCCAAAGATAAAAGTTACACTGATCTTTGGGATATAAGATATAAGCACGTTCTCTGACTGTACAGATATGCTCTTTGCATAAATTCAAGATTTAGAAAGATAAAACATAAAACCCCCTCATTTTTAAACTGTTAAAGTAATAGTAGCTATAAGCAGTCAGCAGCATAAAAAATTAAGACTACCTTTATGTAACCTGTCCAAAATATAACAGGTTCCAGATTAAGTGAACCATTCTCAAAGTTTTGCCTGGCAAAAACCCCTGTATCAGTGCTATTCTGTTTGATTTTAGCAATCCCTCAGATCTCAGAGCCTCACTATATGAAGCCTTACACGGGCTAATTACATACACATCAGTAAAGCAAAGTGGTAACATTAAAAGTAATTTTTTTCCTCATGTTTTTACAAAATTTGTCATTGAACTGCTTTACAAACAAGGTCTTTAAATACACTTTCAAATTTTACAGTATAAACTTAATAACCAAACAATTGTTCTATTATGTTAATAGTAGCTTTCTAGCAAACAAAATATTTAGCTCATCAGTAACCAAGATAAATTCAAGGGAATTTAATGATTGCATAAGGTCTAAATATAAATTTACATTTATTCATGCTTAAGAGTGTATAGTGTATAAGAGCGTACAGTGACCATTTTTAAGCTCTAACAATATAGCAGTCTATGAAGTCTATGAAGTCTAACCCATGAAGCCCCAGCACCTCTGATTTTTTTCTTTTTCTCTACAGAGTATGATAACAGGTTTGTCAGGTGCAAAGTTTCTTTTAAAAGTTAACAGTTGTATCCTATCAGAGTTGGGGAAACACTCACTCAAAAATATTGCGAGTGAAACATACTATCACTGATTTGGTGAGAAAAGCCATCTGACATATTCAGAACTTAAAACATCAAGAGAACAGAATTATAGAAGTACATAAATCAAACTTACAGTTTAGCTGTGATGAGAAGGATCAGTGCAACAAACATACCCTTTGTCAGCTTTTTTGTTTGTCCCACCATAGTTAGCCCAAGGTAAAAAAGTGCAGAGCCAGAAAATGAACTGCCCAGTCCATCAAGGAAGCTTTCAAGATATTCAGGAATTTTCTGGCCAAGAACAAAGTTTGAGGCAATTCCTATGAAGACCATGAACACAATTGGATTCTGCAAAACTCGAAGAAGTGCTAGGCCCACTATTTTGGTTTTGCTCTGTGACACAGTACGATTATTCCTCCACTTCTGGATTTCACAGAAGATAAACCCAAGGGGGTTTAGCATCATAAGAGAGATTGGAGCCACTAGGTAAATATACTGGAGATACTCTGGGTAAGTGGTTTGATATAAAGCTTCAACTAGAAGACAGGAAATGAAAAGTGGTAAGTGATACCATTTCAGTACAAAATACATTAATATTGAAAATAAGTTTTATTGTCTGAAAACTAGAGAAAAACTATTTCATTATCCTTCATAAGTAACTGCATTTACAATAGATACAATATTACATATGAAGAGAGTACATCCAATCACCATTAGGTCATCGTCATCTAATGAATGCATTAAAGATTAAAGATTAGCTATCCAACACTGTTTAATGATTCTATGAACATTCAACATTTACAGGAAAAAAAGAAATAATATAACTATATATAAATATATAACTATAAAAAGAAATAATAAAAATCCCACATGGCCATTGATTCATCCTAAATGCTAATTTATTTTGTTTTTCTCTGAATTGCTTTTCCTCCTCAGAAACACAAAAGTTGTGGAGAATTAAACGCACCTTCGCAGAACACCTCACCTGAGGTTGCTCCTCACCTTAGGGGAGTCTTACATCTCTAGAATTTAACCAGTTTTCAGTGGCTTAGTCAGGTGTTATCTTTCTATACTGATTTCAAAACACCCAGTAAAGCAACAATCAAATTAAAAGCATGTTAGCACATAATTATTAATTAATTTTCTGGGACTACTGCGGGCAAATGTTATTGCTGTAGTTCTGGTCTCTCAAGGAACTTTAGATCATGAGTATTTGTTCTCATTGCTACTACATACTTGTGAGTTAAAATAAAACTGCTTCTTACTTCAAGTTTGTGCTAACAGCACTTCAAAAATAAAAAAAACACTCTGGCAAGATATACCAGATTCCATCCTAGGGTGATTACAGAATCACAGAATTTTTTTGATTTGGAAGGCACCTTAAAGATCATCGAGTTCCAACTCCCCTGCATGGGCAGGGACACCTTCTACTAGGACAGGCTGCTCAAAGCCCCATCCAACCTGCCCTTGAACACCTCCAGGGATGGAGCCCCCACAAAATCTCTGGGGAGCATGTTCCAGTGTCTCACTACCCTTACACTGAAGAATTTACACCTGATTTCTAACTTAAATCTCTCTTCTTTCAGCTTAAAACCATTACCCCTTGTCCTCTCACTGCAAACCCCTGTAAAAAGACCCTCCCCAGCTTCCTGTAGGCCCCTTCAGGTACTGGAAGGCCACTATGAGGTCACCCCAGAGCCTTCTCTTTTTCCGACTGAACAACCCCAACTCTCTCAGCCTGTCCTCATAAGAGAGGTGCTCCAGGCCTTGGATCATTTTTGTGGCCCTTCTCTGGACACGTTCCAACAGGTCCACATCTTTCTTGTGCCGAGGGCACCAGAGCTGGACAGAGTATTCTAGGTGAGGTCTCACCAGGGCAGAGTAGAGGGGCAGAATGACCTCTCTTGATCTGCTTGCCACACTTCTTTTGATGCAGCCCAGGATGGAGTTGGCCTTCTGGGCTGCAACTGCACATTGGTGGCTCATGTCCAGCTTTTGATGAACTAGTACCCCCAGGTCCTTTTCCATAGCGCTGCTCTAAAGCATGACCTCCACCAGCCTGTATTCATGTCTTGGGTTACCTCAGCCCAGGTGCAGAGCCTCCCCCATATTTTTAAAGAGGGATTTCTGTTTTCTTTTAATTCTAATACCTTACATTAAGCACACTTAAAAAGATGCAAGGTCTTGAATTGTGTAGAATGCAGATGTTTTTGGTCCCACTCTCATAATTTCATGACTTCATATTGAAAAATGGAAAACGAAAAGGATAAATTATACATATGAAGCACTTCCTCAGATAAACAGTTAAATAACCTTTTAATCACCATCACTGTCTCATGTTTCAATTTTAAATGTGTGTTATAATCAAAGAATTTAAGTGAAATAACTTTTTTAAACTCTTAGGTCTATACTGCTTTATTTCTTCTATGTCTTACATGATGAATTAAATGTACTAAAATTGCTGTTTAACTGGTTAACAATCCAGTGTTCCTCTGTGTAAGAATGCCATTTTAATTTTCCAATATTTGGAAAAGATAAATGTTATCAGCCTTATAATGTTGCTATTTCAAATAATTTTCAGAAATATGCAGATTGATGCTTTCCATTCTAGGTTTTCCTATCCAAGTTAAAAAGAAACACAGTATTCCCCAGGCAGAAGATCTTAATATACAGGTGCAGTTGTATTTGTATGCCAAAAAACACTAAAAAAAGGAAGCAGTATTGCATAAATACACGTTCTAGACGTTTTTGTAACTTAGCATTCTTAAAGTACTAAAAAAAGCTTAAGATCACAAAGCAATCAACAGTTGCAGGAGTTTCCACTTCCCCATATACTAAACTTTTTTTTTTTCTTTTTTTTTTCTGAAAAGGTTTTCCCTCATGTTTTTCAGAATCCAAAGGATTTTTACTTTCATATTAAACACCTGGAATGACAAGATCTAAGTGCTAAACCAGCATTTACTATAAACAGCCTGCTCTTTAGATTGAGTAAGGAGACATTCTCCATTAGTTGATTTCCAATATATAAGAAAAAGCACTAAAGGTGATTTTCCTCTTAAGAGTCATCATTGAAGTACATATACACGAGCTACCTGTCTTAAAATCCTGAATAAACTGCTGAACAGGACTACCAAGTTTGTGGTTAGCTACCACATTTAACAAGCCAGTTTTAAACACCAAATATATTCTGATAAATAAAACCACTTTGAACATGCTAGGCACCTTTCATGTAAGTGAAAATTTTCTACAAACCCAAATCTTAAGAGTGATGCTTTTATGCTGCTTTATACACTGTGCCCACTTCAATCAAATGCAACTCAACACAAGTCTCATGTAAATAATGCCCGAGTGAAAAACTTAACAAAACATTATTTTTTGGCAAAGTGAAACTGTGTACTTAATACAATATATTAAACTCTCTAAGTAATTTAACTGATGTATTACTTCAGAATGCATTTTCCTGTGTAGTACAAAGTGGAACCAACATAGATTTCTGAGTCAGTGGGGGCAAAAAAAAAAAAAAGATATCATTCTTAAAGAATCATTAAGACACTGAATTGACAACTTCTTTGATAATTTTTTTCTTTTTATTTAAATCAAGGTGCCTGCTTGCTGATCATAACAAAAATTGAAATTAAAAGATATATTAATACTTTTTTAAAAGAAATTTTTCACATCCCAGCTGCTCAAAATTACATATAAATCACACACCAGTTGTTCATGCTTAATACAATTAGCACGATTATAGTCATGGTAACTGAGCCATCATCCACACAACACTTCGGCTACACCTGTGCTTTAACAATGCAGCACTGGAGAGCAGATGAAGCTGTTCTGTCAGTTGTATCATCTCACCTAGTAATAAAAACCAAAACAGACAAAGCTTTCTACGACAGTTGTTCTATCTATATTGGGGTTTTTTTTCTGTACCCATTGTTTTTCACTCCAAACCAACATAGGTTGGAGTGAAAAACTGTCATAGCAGAGGTTAGAGTAAATGAGTTGAAGTCTTCAAATGTTGTTTAATAAAATATTCTTATTACAATACACAGATTTGTCAATACTGAATTTTTACAAATTTCAACTGAAGCAGCCTTTAAAAAGATAGATTTTACTCAAAACACTACCTATCATCATACACAAAAAGAAGTAAGCAAGGCATTCTTTGTTGCTTAGTCCTTCAAACCCTTCAGAGAAGTGACTAACAGTAAAAAGTTTGCACACTTGACAGCATGAACCAAATACTGGTGAAAGTCTGGGGATGGGAGGACAGGAAAGGAAATACACAGCTCTAATAAATATAAAAATCTTCAGCACCCACTGTGTTATTGTTGAGTATTCCAGTAAGGCCCTTGATGAATTAAATGTTGTGAATCTGGCTAGGTTGTATATAGAAGAAATATGCATAATATCTTATAAATCATAAAATACTTGAAGAAAAATGCAACCTTTCAAAGTTGAAAGAAGGTTTTAACTAGAAACATACAATGGAAATATGCTCAGACAACCTCAGAACAGAAGAGAAACTCTAACTGGCATTTTAATCCAGTATCAAGAAACACAGACATAATCCTCACCAGCCCTATTTGTGATATACGTCTGGTTTCTCTCAAGAAGAATACATCTCAGGAGGTGCAACTGAAGGAAGCAGGCTATTTTCATATATGTAAGAAAAAGTTTGCAATTGCATTTGTCTATACTGTAAACATATCCAGCAAATTTGAAAAGAGCAATAAAGATGCAAGATTCCCCTAAGCATGCTGCCCTGAAAACGGGAGAAAAACCCACCAACTCCTCAAGCAATCTAAAATGCGGAGCTACTTGTTGTTATGCATAATCAGGAAATGCATGTTCAAGCTTCTCTTTTGTAAATGTATTTCCAATTCCGTAATCAAATACTTTGCTTTTTGCTTTGCTAGAACAAGTATTTTCTTTTTTTTGTTCTTAAGCTTCTCTGGATGATAAGAGAGAGATCTCAAGAAAATTCGAGAGGCACAGAGTACTTTCTCTTCAGGGAGCAGCAAACAAAACATAGTCTGGGCATCCCCTCCAAACACCTTCCACTTGAGGTGTATTTTGAAGATCCTGATACCTGCAATATGCTTTCCCACACCAGTCTCATGGGTCTGTCTGGGGAGAGGCAGCACTGAAAGCTACATTGGCACAAAAGAGCCTCCCGAGGCAGGTAAAAAGCACTGCAATTCAGACAACAGCAGGTGGGAGAAGGCAGCTACAACTCCAGCTCTCTTCTAAAGTATCATAGTGTTATGGCTCAATATTAACATACCATTAAGAAAACCTATGAAAAGGAAAAAAAAAAAAAAAAAAAGGAAGAAAATAATAGCCTTGCGGATTGGGATAAAATTAATACATTATGTTGCTTGGAATTCAGAACATAGGCTTTCAAGAACAAGAGCTTGCAGCTACACAAGTTATACTCTGAGTGCCTCTTTGGTCTGTACTGGTGGGTTGCTAGGCATCCCAAAAATGGCTCCAGAGCCACATAAAATTACGATCTGAGATACAAAAATGCAATTTATCACAAATCCCACAGCAACCTTTCTTTTAAAAGACTGACTTCTTCCAAGACTAAATCCTCAAGCATGTCTACTGGCCACAATAGAATAAAGATTAAAGGATAAAGCATTATTGCCTACATAAATTAAGGAGCACAAAAATCAGATGTTTCTTCCAAACACATTTAAAGTTTGTCATACGCTCCACTACCAGTAGACACCAACATTACGGCTAAATGTTTCCTTTGAGCTAAACTACGAGGTAATGCCAAATTAGCAAAAACCCCACTACAGCTATTTCATAGGTCACAGGTGCAGGCTTATACTTTGCAAAGCAAGGAATTTTGGTCTTGAGGGAAACTCTAGCAACTTCCCATGAGAAAAACTGCCCACAGTATGTGTAAGGTAATTAATACCAATTTTTAAATTATATATTTAAAAAACTTATTTAACATGAAAAGATCATGTGGACAACGGTAGTTGAACTGTTTTAAATTCTGTCTCACTTCTACCAGCTGACAGTTTTCTTCCCTTACTAAAATGTACATGGTCTCAAGTCAAGAAATATGACTTGAGAAATGGCTTAGCTCATTCCTTCAGTTCAGTAGTCAACTTCAAATTATGGAAAAATAAAAGCAAACATGCCTAGAACACCGAAAAATAATTTTAAAGAAGAAAGCATAAGGAACTACTTACCTATTGGATATCCCAGTGCAAAGTCATTGCTTTGTGTAGCAAAAATAGGGAACAAACCTGCTTTGCTAAATCTGTTCTCAGGACTGGCTACCAACAGTGTTAAAACACACACTAAGAAAAACACAGCAGCTTTGGCAACTAAAATACTGTACAGGAAGGACCAATTCACATTAGAAAAGTTAAGTATCACCATGTTTTTGAATAGAAGAGCTGGGAGTGCAAAACGGGACACAAAATTTCCCAGTCCTTTGGCCTGAGTTGATGTGATAATGTTGGCTCTTCCAGCTACATAGCCACAAAGGATTATACCAAAGCATTCTAACAGGGCTGGGAAAAGCCTGCTTATTGACATAGAAGGAGTACCGCTGGTGGTATTGAGTCCAACTTGTCCAGGCATAGAAATAGACATATTAGCTGAAGATGAGAGGTTCTCACTGAAGTCTGAATAGCTATCCATTTCCTTTGACCACCTCTTCCAAAAAAAAGAGCATGAAATGATCTCATCTGTAAAAGAAACAAAAGTATCTATTAACTTCCAAAGTTATATGTGTAAATATTTGTTGCATTAGGCTTGCTTACAGAAAAGTTTACACTTACAAGTGTACATTACAAAACAAGCATTACAAATAAATAGTAAGACAAATAATAAGTAGCTAAAGACAAACAACTCTGAGAAAGAAAAATGCTGAAAAATCATTCCATATGCATATCAACTTCTCACAAATTCACACAATTCAACAGGGCAACTGACAGAGGATAAAAATCCCCAAATAAATTTGAAGGTAACACTGAAATATTAAAATGTAGATTGGGCATTTAAAAAGAAAAAACCCACTGAAAGGAAAGGTTTTTTTATATATATTGTTCTAGAATCCAAGCATCATTTAAAATTACACTTCAACACTTTCCAGTCATTGTCTCAGAAAACAGTAATTGCTAAATTCTCAGTGTGGATTCCTTGATTTCCTGGACTAGCATTGCAAGCCTAGTTAACTCTCCAACAGAAAAGCACAAGAGACTTCACATACTCCTTATCAGCTTTAAACCTTTCTTACCTCCTCAGATCACTGTCAATTCCCAACTACAATTCTCACATACTCTTTGCTTTCAACTATCAAATTCTTAGTTTTCTTTTCTAACTGTCCTGTCTGTCCCAGGACATCTTATTTCAGGTCCTCCTTAAACTAAGTTCTACTTGATTCTTTTCCCTTAACAAATAAAAATACACTTTAAACTTCCAACGTTAAATTCCTATCCTTGACCTCCCTTTAACTAATGCTCTTCTCCACCACTTTCATGAGCTCAGCTTTACGTGTGGTCAAGAGTCCTCCTTCGCTTCCATCTTTCTATCCTCTTTAATCCAGGTTCTGCCCCTCAAACAGCTCTTACCAAAATCCTGAGAGGCGAAAATCTTCTTAAACTTTCAGAATTGTTCAATTTTCATCCTTTATGAACATTATGCTCTTCTTGAAATTTTGCTCTTCCCATATCTTTTGTAATTACAGCTCCTTCTTATTCCCCTCCAATCTCTACTCCAACAAGGCGGTACCTCTAAATTTCTGTGGGTGCTGACAGGGTTCCTTCCTTGCTCCTCTTCAGCCTCCCTATGTCCTCTGCCTGTGTATTTTCATAAGCACTTATTCAATTATAAATAGATTAGTCATAGATATCTATTTCTAATCTAGACTTTTCTTCTGCTAAAAGGATCATCTCAGCCTGTCTCCAAGATCTCTTGTGTCAATATCCTGCCATTAATTCAAGCCAAATGAGCCTGAAACTGTTCTTGTCTCCCCCAAAAGGTGCTGTTTATCTACTTTGCTAGAGTGACAAAAGGTACAAAATCCTCTAATTTGAGAGAAGTGCAAACTTAGTGAACTTATATTAATCCATAACTCTGTTGCAAGGAAAATCTTCATAGGCTACCAGTATCAGGCCTGTTGCTGTGCATTGGCTTCTTGCACACCAGGTATCGGACTCTCTCCTCTCTTCTATCCCAGATAGTCTATCATCGTGAGATAATTAACTCCATTTTGTAGAGATAGAACCTAATGCAAAGGCAGACTGATTTGCCATCAGCCATTTAACATACCAGTGGCAAAGCTGAGATTTCCAGTTCCCAAAGCAGTGTTTTCTACAGCACAATGCCTGTACAATGTGCAAATTAGCAACTGGTTTAAGAGTCTTCCCAGCTTCTTTGAATTCTATCCTCAGGGAACAGAGAACACATAACAGCCAGGTAAATAAGCCAGCATGGCAAGTCAAAGCAAAGTTGAGATTTTGTATGCGCTATTTCACACCTTAGCATCCAGCACACACATGTTCACGTGTAGCATAAACTCTTTTAACTTGTGGCTGCTATTTATGCCTGAATAGCAACCCTAATATCCAGTTTGAATTCATCTAGACTGAGCAGCTGCATCATCCAAATCTGTCCAGTAGCCTTGGTTACCTCTTCTCCCAAGGAAAATTTTATTTTAAAGGTTGTATTTTACTTATATTATAGAGGATACATTCACCTAGATGCATCTGGACCAGAAGCTCGAAGTGTTAGCTAGCTACTGTAGAACAATCTTGCAATAAGTAAAGCAGACAATAAACCTTTTTTGCTACTAGCAAAACTTAAGTTGTTGGGACTTTCAAAATATCTGAAAGAGGATCAGAGACAGATTTCCAACACTGAATTAATGAAAGAACACAGCCACATTCTATACTAGCTGCAAGGTAAAAAGCAGGTTTTTGGCACAATTCCACGTCAAATACTTCCAGGTTGCAGCACGACATAGAGGTAAGGCTCCTAGCAATGCAACATGTTCAGCCTGCTTTCTGGTCTCTTGAGGCATTTTTTAAGCATTAAGATAAACGTAAAGTCTTACTCACAAAAGCCCCAGAGTACCTACAATTATATAGTGGGAAGGACTTTCACCATTATAGCATCTCCTTCCTCTCTTTCTCTCCTGAAAAGTGGTTGGAGCTCTCAAGGCTTTTTGCTTGCACAGACTAAGCCTTCACAGGAGAGTTTATCAATATAGCTTCACAAGTTTTAAACCAAAATTGTGCCTAAATTAATTAAGCGCATCTCTTCCTTCTGTATTAAAATTATTTCTCCTCATAAAATGGCTACGAAGTATAGAAGTGCCCTTTTCCCCATTTTATAATTCAGGAATTTAAATAAATACACAGAAGACAGATTCTCTAGTTATATCAGTCAGTAGTGTGGTAAACCTTGCATCTTCCTTAGATCATAATTGACATGGATATACACCCACACATCCTACAACCATCTTTTCAAAAGTGCCACAAATATTCCTGCAGCTTTCATTCAAGCTATCTTCACCTTCAACTTCATCACAAGGGGCCGTGCAAAGTCAGTCAGGCCTAATTTTTGGTAAACCGCATGAGCTTCAAAGAGAGAAACTGCATCACAGCAAGCTGTTACTGGCACTCCTCAGAGGGCTGTGACTGTGAATCATCTCTTCAGCTCCAGAGATGCGCACATCCCAAAACATTCACATTTAACACAGATTATCTATTGCAGAGCTGTGGGTATTTCCAGAAAAGCAAGCTCTTGCACAGTATGCTGCTTAACACAGTGCATACATCTCTCAGCCCTTTTCCTCTATAGGATACATGCATTTACATAACCATTGTGAGATTATGTAATGACTAATTACAGATTTAACATACAGCCTTATCACACCTGGGGCTTAAACTAATATTTCACCTGAGTGAAAATGTCTTCAAGTCACAGCTCTTAACGAGATCAAATATATTGATCTGATGCAAAACCAAACCCTTATATATCTACACAGAAACTCAGCTGTCCTTACAGCAGATGTAACAAGTTAACCAGTCAAATACTAAAATAAGGAAATATAACACAGTCCCAGAGGAAAACGCTTAGTTTTGATTCCATAGGACATATGATTTGTGGTTAACCCTCCAGGGATTGAGATTTGAATTCTTGAAAATTTAGCCACAGCTGCATTGCTGGGAACTGAAGACAAATAAAGATGAAGCTTTTAGCAATTATGCTACCTTATCTGATATTGACTGTGTCAAGTGTAGCTGCTTGTGTTCAGACTGTCAACTTGCACTCATACAGAACGACAGTGCAGCCATCACAAGAGGAAGCCTTGTATGAAGACCAACAACAGACAGAGAGCAAGAAACAAGAGTGGTTTACAATTCCCTTGAAACAAACTCGAGCACTAATATTTGCCCACTTCTCTAGTAGGTTGTCAATATTTGTGAAGTGTTAAAATTCACCAGACCAGAAACTCAAATTCTCCAACAGCTGTGTGTTAAGCAACAGCAGGTTCCTCTCCAAGTACTGAAATAGAGATATTGCCTCCTTTTCCAGCAGGCAAATCCCTTTCATCTTCTTTTTTTAATCAAAGGCAGCGTGAGACAATAGAAAAGATACCTTAACATACATCTTCTCTCTGGTCTCTCACTCTCAAGCTTTCAGCTGATAATCAGTCTTTGGGTAATTCTGGTGATGCTGGCAAGGCTGCGCACACTGTTAATAAATTACATCCACAATGTGGCCTCGTTTGCTACTTCAATGCAATGTAGAAACAACCCAATCTTAGGGGTTGGAAGGGACCTCGAAAGATCTAGTTTATTCAGAAGACTGAAAGTGAAATCCGGGCAGGAAGAGTTACCATTCGTGGCAGCTCTAACATTGCAACTTCAGTTCAGATAAGAATGTAGCAGATGCATGTTAGTGCAAAAGTCTGTACAGTAACTCAAAGAGGAAGCAACCTTACAGAGATACAATGATAAAAGTTGGAAGAAGTGATTACTGCAGTTCCTATTCTTGCAAGTTAACTGCGATTTTTACTTTTGTCTCTACTGGGTTAAGAAAGCAGATACAGGATAACATCATAATGGCAACTAACCCAAGAAGTGAACCACCACTACCTTTAAGTCCAGACAATGCAACAAGAAATATCAGATCTTAACTGTCTCTGAGCAGTTGATCTTCAAGACCACATTTCCTTCTTCAGTTTTTTCTGTGCTGTCATTACAAGAAAGCACCTGAACCACGGACAGCAGGCGAAGCTGAGGCCTGTCCCGAGCACAGGGACGCGGGGCTTGCAACAGCAACACTCCAAGCTACACCAAAATCTGTTAGCGTGGTGTTCAGACAAGACCAAATAAAACAACACTTGCCCAGAACACAAAGTATCAAACCACAAAAACAAACTCGAAACATACCTCCCCTTGACTTTCAATTAGACTCCTCTTACGTTCTGCCAACAGACAGATAATGCTCGTGAGCAAATGGCAGAACACTTTTCAAGATGCAGACTGTGTTTCACTGCCAGCACCCCTCAGGAAGCATCTCACTCACCCCGCTTGCCACACAGGGATGAAACACCCTTTGACTTGCAGGGAGAAAGCGGTAACAAAGCAAACGCCCCTTCCCTTGCTCATCACTGCTCTCCTGCCGCA